TCATCCCTAAATTTAAAACTATTTATTTGCCGCTGCTTGATATTTTCGAAATTCATCTATTTATATAAAATATAAATATACAAAGTTTCATTTAAATTAAAACTTGACACTTCGTGAGGTTCCCTCGTTAATTTTATACCCTCTTCATTAATTATAATTACAAGACGTGCAGTAATACTTGTTTTTGTAAATTAATATACTATAAAAAATATCCTGTCATCCAATTTTTAAATATAAAATACGAAAGATTGTCTAAATTAGGTAAAGTAAATTTTAAAAGTTTAAAATTTTTGTATTATATTAAAATTTATATATGGAAAATAAATAAATATATATTTATTTATTTATTTATACATCATAATTAAGAAATTATTTATATAATACATTATTTTTATTTAAATGATGAGTATATAAAAAATTATAATAAAATAATATGAATTCCTCTGAAATTTTTTTTTTTTAAACAACAAGATTGATTCACAATAAGCCTATCTTACAATGAAAAAGATGAAATTATCGAGAGTATCATAAAGAATATACGATACAAGACATACCAAAGACGGTTAAAGCTTCACGTTCAACGTTAAAAGATTTTCCCGCCATAACGCAGTTACGCACACTTATAAGTATGCAGAATAATTTAAAAAATATTAGAACAAATCTCATTGAATTTTTAGTTTGTTTTATGGAAATTCGTTGCAGTAACTTGTCCTATCAAATCGTTAATGTAAATAATGCATATAATACTTAATTCAATTTCATTATAGTAAAAACTGTTCTGTACTCAAAAAATTTCACACATTATTAATAACAATAGATACAATAGGTTGTATACAGTTAGACATATCGATACGTAAAGAAAAACGCGCACGTAAAAAAAAAGAAAAATCGTCAAAACGTCATCAAATGTCGCGAATTCGATTGCAATACCTTGAAACGAGGTGAGAATTATAAAAGTGAGTAAATTTACTGGAATATTTATAATTTAATTTGTCAACATCTGAATTTGCTCATCTTTGTAATTTTCATCTCGTTTCAAGATACGCGATTAAATCGCAAGAATATCAACCTCCCGGCAACAGGCATGTACTAAATCCTTTGGAGTCTCATTTCAAAAAGAGTGGCTCAATTTTTAATATTTAAGAATGATATTTCACTCTTCTGAGTGACAATTCACTTAAAGGTTTTAGGCCCGATTGCACCAACGTACTTTAACTTTAAGCGAGGCTCAAAATTCCCAATTTTTCTCTTTAAAGCCGAAAGAGAGGAAGAGATAGAGTTTTAAGTCTCGTTTAAAATCAAAGTAACGTTGGTGCAACCGGGCCTTAAACTGTAGTAGACACGCGCTGCAGGCGCTTATAATTTCGTTCTTTATCGTTCATTAGACATAAAATAGCAACGCCAAAAGCAGCAACTCCAACCTTAATGGCTTTCGTTTCCTTTATACAGTATCGGAGATGTTACAATCAAAATAAAATAATAAAGAGAGATAAGTCACGGAATCAATGCACGAGACAAGCTTCGGCGAATTTCATCAGAAACTTTAAAAAAAAATTAAAAATTACACAACACCGACCCAGACCAAAGTACGAACGAAGTTCGTCCCAGCAGAGTCATCAACAAAAACTTAACAACAAATGATCCGTTTTCTGTGCTTGAACTAATGTACACTTGTGGAACTTAAAGTGAGATAGACATATGTTTGATACTTGGCGAAAACAGGAATTCTAGTGCAATCTAATAAAGGAACAAAAAACAAACTTGAGCATAGAGACGAATGAAAAAGCAGGAGGTACTATTAATTAAGGATGCAGGTACTAATCGACAATGAGAAGCTGAATAGATCAGAGCATGCAGGTACTTGTTAACCGCTATAACGACTTACTGCCAAATTCGTTGAACCGTTGTATCCTTGCCTTGGAGAAGGACATCTCGTCGTTACTCGCGCGAGCGCGCGATTTTCGTGCCGTACCAAATCAACGGATTCGCGCGGGATCGTCGCTAAACAGTCGTTGCGGATAAGAATTACGCGTAGACCAACCGTTGCACCGTTCTTCTGTTCTGTTATTCCGTCGTTATTCCGTTCGTACGCACCTCTCGCTTACGCGAGAGCAAAACAATGCGGACCAATATGGACCGCACTCAATCGTACTCAATCGCGCCAAACACTGCGCGATACTGCACGTTGCTAACCCACGTCCCTACCTAACTCACCAAATCGGTTATTTTAATTTGAAACGGCGGTTATTCGTTCTCTAGCGCGGCGACGATTCGCTGCGAAAGCGCCCAATGAGCGCACGAGTTTACGAGAATGTGCAACCGATGGGTACATTTAGTACTAAAGTTAGTGATTTGTCATTTGCTTCGAAGTTATACAATTATACATATAATTATTTTAGTTTAATATAATAATAAATATTCTACAATATATATAGAATCGTAAGCAGGAAGCCGTAAAAAATTAATCAATCATGGCAGATTATTCTTCTCACACTTAATTGTGACTGGCCAATTTCTTACGGCTTACGAGGCATAAACAAATTGGCCAATCACAGTAGAGACGGTAATGCTAGTAGCGAATCCAACGGCCTTATATTTTTCTATGTGCTCCCAGCTTTAATCGACCGATTAGTTAATCGGAGTTGATAAGACCAGCCCATAAGCATGTGTTGTAAACGCAGCAGAAGGAAAAATGAATAGCTCGCGTCGTGTTACGATGTTCGATTCGCCGACGTCTCGTCGAGTTTAGCCGAATCTGGCCGAGTCCCGACTTCCTACACTCCTAACCTAAGTCCCAGACTCTCAAGTCTCAGCCTCGAATCGTATTCGTGGAATGTAGTGGAATACGTGCACGAGTGCCACGTGTACCCGGTGGATCAACTGGTCCCAGCTGTCGTGATAACCAGTGGCCGCTACTGCTGGCTAATGTATCGCCGGTGGAATTGTTAACCTCGTTGAGTTTCCGCACAGCGTATCAAACCTCTGATTCACGATGAAATACAAGCTCTATATTGTACTCATTTTTCTTTCCATTCTAAGCTATGTCACTTGTCAATACAGAACGAAAAACGTAAGAACTCTTCTTATATCACGCACTTATCATTCAACTAACCAAATCTCTCAATATGCTTACAAAATGTGACTGAAATGTTATTCTTACAGAATCAAGGCACCTCCTTGGCCGAACGTGTGCAACAACTAACCGAGATGACTTTGAAAAAACCGATATTGAAATTTAACGGGTCAAAATTTAAACAGTATATTAAATCTCCTCCAAGGAATTATTCTATTATTGTTATGTTTACCGCCATGGCGCCTCAGAGACAGTGTCAGATTTGCAGGTGAGCTAACTTGCATTTATGCTTGAATAAGTCACTAGTAATAAAAATTTTTACGTGTATCAATAATTTCAACATAACGTTAGGCATGCCAATGATGAATTTACAATAGTGGCGAATTCCTTCCGATATTCTGCCTTGTACTCCAACAAGTTATTCTTTGCCTCTATCGATTTTGACGAAGGATCAGATGTTTTTCGATTGGTAAGTAGAACATATAAGGGTATATAAATATAATTAATATGAAATTTTCTTATCACAGATGAAGTTGAATACTGCACCAGTATATATGCATTTCCCACCTAAAGGTAAACCAAAAGCTGCTGATACTATGGATATCCAGCGAGTAGGATTTGGTGCAGAAGCAATAGCAAAATGGATAGGTGAACGCACAGATATCCAGGTAATATTGTTAGCAGTCATTGTGTTGTGTCACATTTATTATACTAAAATTGTTCTGATCTCTATCATATATTTTTTATTTGATTTCTAAATTGTTTGCAATATTGATTTATTGTCAATTGCAGATCAGAGTATTTAGACCACCAAATTACTCGGGTACAGTAGGATTAGGACTGCTTATAGTTATCGTAGCAGTTGGTCTGTATCTCAGACGTAATAATTTGGACTTCATTTACAACAAAAATCTTTGGGGATTCTGTGCTTTGGTAAATATATTTTTCCTCAATTACTTTTTTCGTTTTAATAAATAATCCTGATTTACTTGTTTTCAGTTCTTTGCCGTAAATATGACTTCTGGACAAATGTGGAATCATATCAGAGGACCACCTTTTGTTCATAAATCACCAAATGGCAATGTAGCTTATATTCATGGATCTTCTCAAGGTCAATTTATAGTGGAAACCTATATTGTTATGGTTATGAGTATCCTTTTGTTGTATTCAGAAATTATAAAAAATAATTTGCATAAAAGTATAGAAAAACTAGATTTGTGTACATTTTATATTGTGATATAGATCTTAATTACATATAAAAAGATGGAGCAGTGGTGTTAGGAATGATCTTGATGACTGAGGCTGCAGCTCGTAAAGGAGATGTTAAGAAGCGTAAGATATTAGCTGTGATAGGTGCAGGATTAGTGGCAATTTTCTTTAGTCTTCTTCTGTCGATATTTAGAAACAAAGCTCAAGGCTATCCATATAGGTATGTATATGTGTTATAAATTTTTTTATCTTTAATATATTATAAACAAATTTAACATTTTAAAGCATGATGATATTATTTGTAAAAGTAAAAAGATTTCAGTAATATCATCATGCTTCACTTGAATATTTATAAGAATTGCCATTACATTTGTATCCCAGGGAAGAATAATTTGCTTGTTTCAGTTTATTATTCAAATAACTAAATAGAAAGGAAATATCTTCATACATCATTTATTGAGCGAAAAATATCTGGCAGTTCCATATAGAATACGAAACTAGGAAGATTTTTTTACAAATAAAAAGTAAAGAGTTATATTGTTATAAATGTTGTATCACGTTCATTATATATATTGTATGTAACATAAAAATTCGCATTTAATATTATTGTACAATAAAACAAAAGTAGTATATAGAAATATGTATTTAAATTAATATAGGATGAAAATTCATTGAACCAATTTATTCATTAGAATTTTTATTTATTCATATTTGGTATGGCTATTATTTTTTTGGTATGTATATTATAATTAAATATGTAAATTATTGAATCATATCGTTTTCAGTCAATAATGTATCAATTTCGTAGTAAAAATTTTACCATATGTTAGGAATTATAATCTTTCTCTCTTTTGGATAATTTGTAAATGTTTTACGGTACCAATGATGAGACAAATATGCACATACCACCTAAAAAAAATCATTTGTACGTACATATACTTGATCTCTTTTTATCAAAAAACATTTCTTACTGATTTCTATTTCTTACCTGATTTGATATAACCCAAAGAGTAACGTAATGAAATGTAGAAGCTCGCCAAAGAATTATGGAGAACATTAAATATATAATTGCTTCGCACAATTGCAATGGACCTGCTATATACTTAAATAGACCATCAAATGGTATTTTATGTTCAAGAGATACGACGTCACCATGAGAATTTTTACGTAGTCTTGCAAGAATAAAATTTGTTTTTAATTGTTCATATGACGCCCATAAACATATAAGTGCACAAACTAGTTTCACAGTTGTGACTTTGTATAGGAACAAGGTCGCATGCGAACCTATTAACGAAAAAAATTTTATACCTGTGTATATATGTGTGTATACATATAATATACATACTATATATTTTTTTAATTTAAAAGTTAAATAATAAAAGTTGAAAGTTAATAACTTATTAATAAATTATTTTAAATATACATTAACTTTTTAACTTATCAACTTCTCTTGTAATTAAAAATTTTTTTCATTAAATCTCTAAAAATCCTAATATTCTTTCCTTTCATAAAATTTTTTATAAATTTCTTCTATAAATCTTAAACGTGCATAATATATAATCTACATCGTGATATTTACAATTATTTAATTTTAATCATTCAAAGTATTTATAAAAATTACAATATAATTCTAATTATTTTATGCGTATATATATA